GGCTCTGGCCTCTGCAAAGTGACAGGTGCGCTCTTCAACATCAACTTCTACGCAGGGGCCCTCCTGCTGGCATGCATCAGCTTCGACCGCTACCTGAGCATAGTGCACGCCACCCAGCTCTATCGCCGGGGCCCTCAGGCCCGTGTGGCCCTCACCTGTGTGGTTGTCTGGGGGCTCTGTCTGCTCTTGGCCCTCCCAGACTTCATCTTCCTGTCGGCCCACCATGACGAACGCCTCAATGCCACCCACTGCCAGTACAACTTCCCGCAGGTGGGCCGCACAGCTCTGCGGGGGTTGCTGCTGGTGGCTGGTTTCCTGCTGCCCCTGTTAGTGATGGCCTACTGCTATGCCCATATCCTGGCTGTGCTGCTGGTCTCCAGGGGCCAGCGGCGCCTGCGAGCCAGGTGGTCGTGGTGGCCTTTGCCCTCTGCTGGACCCCCTACCACCTGGTGGTGCTTGTGGACACTCTCATGGACCTGGGGGCCCTGGCCCGCAACTGTGGCAGAGAAAGCCGTGTGGACGTGGCCAAGTCAGTCACTTCGGGCCTGGGCTACATGCACTGCTGCCTCAACCCCCTGCTCTATGCCTTTGTGGGAGTCAAGTTCCGAGAACGAATGTGGAGGCTGCTCCTGCGCCTGGGCTGTCCCAGCCAGAGAGGACTCCAGTGGCAACCGTCATCTTCCCACCGAGATTCATCCTGGTCTGAGACCACAGAGGCTTCCTACTCGGGCTTGTGAGGCTAAAATGGGGGCTCCCCTTTCACCCACACAGCCTGATTCCCTGCACCTCTGGGTTCCTCCTCCCTCTGCTGGGCCAGCTCTGGAATTCCCATTGCCTGGCTTCCAGAAGCACTGGCAGCCCCTTCCCAGCTAGGTGGGCTGTGCCATTGCTGCTCCTTAGCTGTGAGCTCCCTCCTGCTGCTTCAGAGGTGGCTGCCTGGAGCCCTACCACCCTGCCCACATGGTAACTAGAACCTGGCCTTCCCACTCACAGGGAGCATGAGGCAAACAGCAGGGGGCGCTGCCCCGCTAGGATCCCAGCCTAGGCCTCCAGCTCAGGAGCAACTGCAGCCGTGGTCACCACGACCTCTGTTTGTTCACTCTTGTTTTTATGTCTAAAACATGCTTAACATTTTTCAATAAACAAGATAATCAGGACCATGGTGTGTTTGCAGTGCCTCATTACAACCAGCCCCCTGCTTGGGCCCTGGGGATCTGCCCTTCGTAATTACCTCTCCGCCTGGCCCTGGCAGAGGATGTGCCTGTGTTAATATCTCTCTGCAGCCTTCGGCCTTCCTGGGCACTCTAGCTATTCAGAGACGCACCAGGGTCATAAGTGCAGGGTGGAGTTAGGCAGCTGGCTGGCTGGAACCTGGCATAATTAGGAGAAGGGGTCACCAGACATTAATAAGACACAGTCCCTATACTTTGGAAGCTCAGGCCAGCAGGGAAGGCCCAGTAAAGCCAGCAATGCCAAGCACTCGTGCTAAGAGGCAAAGGAGTACCATGGAGGCTCAGAGTGCTGAAGGCTAGAGCCATTCAGGAAGGTTCCCTGAAGACATAAAGGAAACTAGCATTTTCAAAGGTAAAGAGAAGACAGGTGGGAAGACTGAAAGCAGCAATGATTACTGGAGGAATTGTAAGAGACCCTAGCTGCCTCATTTGCTAACTCTACCTCTGTCTGTGTTTAATTTTTGCTATTCCCGCCCCTTTCTCACTTTACATTGATCCCTGAGTAATCGCATCCTCTTTCTTGGCATCTCCTTCAAACTATTTGCTGAATAGCTCCCCACATTTGTGTACCTCTAGCCCAGCCTTGCTTCTGAACCTGCTTATATCTTTCCACCTGCTTTGTGCCATTTTCACTTATCTCTGTTTTCAAAGCTTTTGACAGTTGTCATGTCCTCCTACCTGTTTATTTGTTGAACTTACATTCTAGACATCAAGTTTCTGCAGGCAAGAGATCATGTCTTACTCATCCTTAGATCTTCAGTGCTTAACAATGTACTTTACAGTTAGTAGGTACTCCATTAACAGTTTAAGAATTACTTTATTTCATTTTATTTATTAGTATTATTTTTTAGTTTGACCAGAGAGAGAAAGAGAGGGAAAGTGAGAAAGCAAGCTGTCATATCTGGGACTCAAACTGCGGTCAAGCACCTTAACTACCATGCCACCTACCAGCCCCCATAGATATTTAATAAAAGAGCAACATTTGTTCTGTCTTTAAATTCAGTTTAGTAAATACACTATCTTGTGTATTTCTCCACATAAAGGAACATTTTCAGTACACTATGGTCAGCACCCTAAGCTAGGATTGTGCCAAGAATTACAGCAACCTGAAAATAAGACGGAAACAATAGTTTGGGGTCAGGTGACGGTATCCGAGACTAGTCACAGGGCTGCACTGTTAAGCCAGGTGAGAGGCGATACAGGCTCTTACTAGAGAAATAGCCATGGGCTAGAAGAAAAGCAATGAGGCTGGGTGACTGGCCAACAGTCATGAGCATACAGCCTACCTGGAAGTGGGCAAGAGGAAATTTTTCCACAGCTTGTGCTGGGAGTAATGTGAGTAAAGACGATAACTGGGGCTTCCCAGAAGGGCAGGTGACAGGCCTGCTGAGGGAAGGCAGAAAGTGAAGGAATGGAGTCACCACATTCTCAGTTCCCCCTAAAGAAGTCACCAATTGGGGGCCGGCAGGTGGCGTAGTGGTTAAGGTCCTGGATTCCCACATGGCCGACCACAGTTCAAGTCTTGGACCTGGTGGCTTGCTCTCACTCACTTTTTCTCCCTTTCTCTTGTCAAATTAATAACAACAAATAAAATTAAAAATCCTGAGAAGAATGGAGAAGGGAGTATGGTGTGGCCATCCCCCCCGAAGGTGTTTCCTCTCTCTCCAGCGAGCTCACACGTCCTATAGCAAAATGACCAAAAAAAAAAAAAAATCAAAGTCACTGATGGGCTACGATCTGGCTGCACAGGCCAGTGGGGCTCTTGCCGGAGTTGCAGAGGTAGCTAGAGGTAGAAAGGAACCCAAGGAGTTAGCTAGGGAAGCTTATCCTACACTATACACAAACCCAACCGCATCTAACCTGTGGTTAGGAGTTTATGGCCACTAAAACACTCTAATAAGCTTCTGCAAAATGAAGAAATGAAAATGAGAATAACACGTCCTGCGTAGATAAAATATCAGTGATACTAATCTAGTAAAAATGTTGATGGCAGGCTGAAAAATGGGCCCCCTAACATGTCCATGCTCTTATTTCCAGGGTTTTTGCAAATGTTACATGGCAGGCTGGCCTCATGGCCTAGTAGCTAAGGGAGCCAGCTTCCACACAGCTGATTCTGGCACCAATCCCAGCCCTGGCAGTTTGGAAACCATGCCAAGCATGTGGGCACCTATGCCCCAAATCCTAATATGATAAACAGAGACGAGATTATGGCGTGACCATCCCGTTAGGGTATACTTTCTCCCTCTCCCTGTCTCTGGCAAAAGGAGACTGAAGTTGCCAATCAGGCTTGAAGGAAACAGATTCTCCCCTCAGCCTCTAAGAAGGAATACAGCTCTGTTGACACCCTGGTTTTAGCCCAGTGAGAACCATGCTGGACTTCTGCCCTCCAGAACTACTACAATAACATATTTGTTTTAAGCCTCTAGGTTTATATTAATTATTATGGCAACTATAAGAAAACCAACACAATGTTGACTCCAGTTTACATACTGAATATCTCCCAGAAATAGGGGGACTAGGGAACCAGCAGTTAGCGTAATGGCTATGTCGCTGGACTCCCATGTAGTCGACCGCGGTTCATGTCCCGGACCTGGTGGCTTAAAACTCACATCGGGCATGTGTGTGCATGCCCAAGATCCTGAGAGGAGAAGGGATTGCGGCGTGGCCATCCCCCCTTGGGGGTGATTTCTCGCTTCCTGTCTCTCTGTTTGTCTGGCGAGCGCGCACGCCCTTATAGCAAAAAACTCTCCAAAAAAAAAAAGAAAGAAAGAAAGAAATAGGGGACTAGGAGCCAGCTGGTGGGGTGGTGGTAAAACCTGACACTGAGGCTGACCCACATGGGAAGGTTCTGAGTTCACATCTGGAGACCTCACTGAGCATGTCGGGCACACATGTGCCTGTGATCTGGGGCCAGCTGAGGCCAGATCACAGTTGCAAGACCCTGTTTGGGGCGCTATCACTGTCTTGTACTTACTGAAGAAATAAACAAGCATTAAGTAAAAGAAGTGGAAGGACTGCTGCAGCATGTAAGAGCAGTCACAGAAATCAGAGGGAAACAGAACGGAGAGTCACTTTCTAGACACATCCTGGGGATTCCAGACGTCTAGTCTCAGACAAAAGACCTGAGGGTTTGTTCCACTCTCGGCGCAACTCAATGAACAGACTTTGTTAACATGTAAGAAAAACAAAATGCTTTATTTTATTTTATTTTATTATCTGAACAATTACATGGCTCAGACAGCTTCACTCCGGTATCAGCACATCAATTTCATAAAACATCTTTGTCTTTTACATGTAGTTAGACGTAACAGGTCATATCTGATAGCAGCCCTGATTTTGAAATGCTGCCTCTAAAACTCGTTCTCCTCCCAGCATTTATCCTTCAATTCTCCACTTGCCACTCTCAAAAACTCAATTTTTCTCTTGCATTTTGTTCTACAAGTTAAATCTATAGTCAAAGTTAAGACCCAAGCTGGATCCAAAAGGCTTTAGAGTATTCCCAAGGGCATAAATGGCTACTAATGGAACCCTTGGGTAAAATTATTATTACTAATATGAATCTTAACAAGTATTTAAACGCTAGTATGCTAGTATTTGTAACTTCACAAAAACAGACTTATTTCTTAAAACTTCTTAGCAGTAAAGCATTTAGCTCACACAGGTATATGCTCAGATAACCTTAACGATTCAGACTTTGCTTAAAGACAACATAATCCTTGCTGAGCTGTTTCATCACATCCCCATGGTTAATCCCCTCTATCTGCCGCATAACTCTCCTGTAATTCAGCTGCACAAATCTGGCAAATGGTCTCACATGGGGTGCGATGGGGGTGCCATCTTTCCGAGTTAATGGCAGCACGACTAGAGGCCCCCGGCATATGGCACAGATAAAGCGATCAGTGTTCAGTGACCTGGTGTAGCGGCCAATCCTAGTGAGGAAAGGGACACCACACACAAAAGAATCAGTCATGGTACTTCATCTCTGAGATACTGACCTTGGGCCCCAAGCGTGAATTTCCTGTGGGTTCCCAGAGGGTGGGGCACTGAGAAGCAGTGGTCAAGCCAGCTCGAATTAGAAAAAGGAGCAGAGAAAGAGAACATGGAAAGGAGTAAAGAGGCTTCACTCCTCAAATCAGATAGCCACCTTCTTACTAATAAACTCACTGAAGAGCCACTTGGAAGCCATCAGAAAAATGTAATAGGAAAAAGTCCAAGGAGAAGGGTCTTACCTGGATTTGCATTGGGTACATTCATACTGAATCTTGTAGTTAATCTTATAGTTATGGCAACGGGTGACCATGGGCAGCTCTGGGTGCACCATGTTGGATTTTTTAGCATAATACTTCCACATGTCACCATGAGAATCGCGGATACCATCGAGCAGCCAGGAGGCAGCATGGCATATTTCATGGATCAAGGTATCCCGAAGTCGGTCTTGGAAAAGGAATGAAAAGAAATCATGAGCTTTTGAGGCCTCTAAAACTGATTCTTTTCTGGTCTGCTACACAGCAAGCCCTAGACTTTGACCCTCACCAGACACAAAACCATCTTACGGAAGCATACATAGGCAGGCATGAGTGTTACCATCCCGGGAATCTGAAAGTGAAATTTCTACCTACTTCAACCCAATTCTGTTAATGGCAGAGAGCCTTAAGTGAGCAGTTCCTTTCAGAGCAACGCCAACACGCAGTTTTGTGGTGTGCTGCTGGAAATACATCCAGGTAATACTTGCTTTCTGCCCTCCAGGAACAAAGGAAGACAGGCTGGGGAGCAATCGCTATGGTCAGAGGGTTTAGACCAAAGAAGTACCATGGGGAAATTAGGATTTGGGCTGAGCCCTTGAAAACTGACTGAATCTGCACAGTGAAAAAAGCCATTCTGGGTGTGGTGAAAAATGTGACCAAAGTTGGGTCCACGAAGGTATGTGGTACATTTTAAAGGCTGGTGTGAAAAGAGTCTAGCTGGAGCCCAGGCTAGTGGTGGAGTAGTGAGAGACAAGACTGGTCAAGTGGACAGGGGGCAATTGACAATGGCCTCAAAAGTCAGGCTCTGGGCATTGAAAATCCTTAGCTTTCTCAGCAGTTTTTTTTTCAGGTGTGTGCAGGGAATGGAAGGAGCAGGGAGAAGGGTGAGAAGATGAGGGCCCATACCTGGGTATAGGCAAAGATGGAGAAGGAATGATGATAGGAGAGCTACTGTGAAGGAAGATTTGATGATTGGCTAGACATAGGGACCTTAGGCTGGCCCTACTGCTTAGTGGTTAAGGGAGCCAGATCCCACATGGCTGACTGAAGTTTGAATCCTGTCCCCAGGGAAAAACAAAAACAAAAACAAAACAAAACAAAAAACCACACTGGGGGCTCAGGGGAGGGGACAGGTGGCGTGATGGAAAGGCGCTGGATTCCCACATGGCCAACCATGGTTTGAGT